ATATGAATTATTCTAGGGATATGCTGCAAAGTTTTAATTATTAGTAATTGTAATTATTCAGCAAAAGGTTTATTAAAACTCGGTAATTAAATAGAACCACTTGATTTTATATCTCAGTTTAAACTTTTTCTTGCTTCAAGTCATAACACAACATTTGATTGAAAAGACAACTAAAACAATTTTTAAAAAATCAAAAAAATTGTTTTCTAAATAACTAAAGTTTAAAGTTTCATTTGTATATCATAACTCCAATCATTCTTGTACTCCATTCATTCTTGTAATCCATTCATTTAACATAAAGTTTAAGTTTAAGTAAAAAAGTTGTTTGCCGTTTCGTTGCGCCATTTTTAATGTTTTTGTCGAATATTATCGGCGAACTTTCAAATACATTATTATAAACGTACCTATTTGCGTCAACGTAAGCGTTTAAGTACAGTCTTGATATCGTTTTCTTTTTGTTTGCGAAAAAAAAGGTTTCAAGCATAGTCCGGAAGAATTTCAATGCGGTTGAACTTCCATCTATTTTATACTTCCATGGTTGCATTGAGTAGAAGGCATAGAACAAACAAACTTGTAAAAAAAAGCCGATAATTTTAAACAAATCCGATTGGTTGTTAGTAGCAAACCGAACAACTTTTTACTTATTGGTATTTAATTTAAGCAAACAAAGAATTCGTTAATAATGGCAAAATATTACAAACAACCGAAGCGTCTGTTATAGCACTTTTAGGGCTGTTCATAAACGAGGTCAGACATCTAGGGGAGGGAGGGGTCCAGACTTTTGTGACAATCTGTGACAAGGGGGAGGGAGGGGGTTAAAGGAATGTGGTGTCCCAAAAAATATTTTATATATTAAAATAAAATATACCAGGATATATTTTAGGGATAAAAATAAAATATACCAGCGTATTTTTTGACGTGTACGTTTTAGCATATCCTACAAAGAGCAAAAAGGCTTTTCAAGTAGAACAGATTCAGAAGTGGAATGAAATAAAAATTGATAAAATTTACAAATCAAAGCGGATTGCAAGAACTAAACGCTTTTTCCACAAGAGCAACGCTCCTAAGATTTCGGGCTGAACAAACATTGTCAACTAATAAACCTTCAACTATAAATGTGCATAAAAAAAATCTTCCGACTTCAAATTTGAAGTTTGATGAAAAAGATACCGAAATTGTTAGTGATGAATTAGAACCTGAACCTTTTACTGCTCGCTCAGAAATACAGAATTGTCCAAGCCCAACTGCAACTGCAGACATCTTTTACCAGATTATAATAGTGGTTAAAATAATCTTTCCATACTTACCAAATATGTCATACTTTTTGATGAAAAAACATACATATATTGTAGTTGAAAAAATTTACTTTTTTGTTCGGAAAAACGTCTACCATACCTTAGTTGCATTGAGTAGGAAACGTTCTTGTTCACCTTCATGCTAGAATATATCTGATGCAATATTCCGTGGAACATGGAACATGAGCAAATGTGTTAACGTAACTAAAATAAAAATTCTTTCGTGTGAACATAAGTTGAACAAAAATTTTAGGAACATTTAAAGTTTGTACCGTTTCTGCCCGTTAATAATATTTTCCGTGAAATTCAGAGACAAATAAGTTTTGTAATAACGTAAACAAAACCTTAAGGTGGCTCTATGGGGCTATCATTAATTATGTCAACAACTATTCGACAACCTCCCTTCGCCCTTATTAACAACTTGTTAAACTTCCACAGACCCCCTCAAAAATTACGTTCACACTCAATAAACCCCCCTCATTCCCCCTCCCCCCCCCCCAAAAAAAAATAAAAATAAATAAAAATAAAAATTTAAATGGAAAAATTTATATATATATATATATATATACATATATATATATATATATATATATATATATATATATATATATATATATATATATATATATATATATATATATATATATATATATATATTATGTTGATTTTAGGTGCCCCAAGATGTCCTTAAGGTCTTATCACAAAGCACCGCGGAAGAGCATTTAATAGGGAGTTCACGCCTCCTTCCCAATCGATGTCGCAAAGCTTGCCCAGAGGCGGGGTTTGAACCAGGGATCTTACGTTTCTGAGGCAAGTGTGCTACCACTGCGCCACGGCCGCCTAAATTTTTAAATTATTTTAAACAGATTAATTTACAACTAAAACCAAAAAGAGATTAAAAGTAAATAAAAAAGAGTTTATAAGTAAAAAAAAAAACTATAGATTTTTTTTTTTTTTTTTTTGTTATTCACCTCCTCAAGGCCGAGAAGGCCACTACAGACGAGGAGGCTATTTAATAGTGGTTATAACCCAATTTCAAAATATAAATGAACAAAAAGTGAATAAAATTAAAAGGTATAGAAAAAAAATTATTAAACTTTTAACTTCAGAACATATTTTCAACAAAAACTTACTCCAAACAAAAAAATTATTAAACTTTTAATTTCAGAACATATTTTCAACAAAAACTTACTCCAAACAAAAAAATAAAAATTAAAGTGTTCACAAAACACCTTACACGTTTAAATTATGAACATATTTCAAATTAATGCAACACTTCAATGTGCAAATCGATTTAGGTATAAAGTTAAAGTGAGGAGGAAACCCTCACTTAAACTTTATATCTAACTTTATGTCCTCCTCGCTTTAACTTTATACCTAGTTCAATTTCAAAGTAAAAGACAATTATTTCTAATAGAGTTTAGTATAACGAAAAATGCATTTAACAAAATTGTATAAACCAGGAGTCGAAAACTTTTTGAGAGAGAAAAGCCAAAAGTTGCAATTTATAAAGTTTTAGTTTGCTGTGCAAACAAAAAAAATTAATGTAAGTACATGGTCTGCATTATATTATTATAGGCTTGCAAACCTCGTGTGGTTCTTTCAATATCAAGATGTGCCTCTTTTGCTCCATGCACCAATATTTATAATAATTGTAATATTAATTGGAATATAGATGTTGGTAGCACTTTAAAAGCAGAATTTTTAAAGAGTTTTTCAAGATCTTTTTTTCAAATCTTTTTTCAAATTTTTATTTCAATATTTATTGAAATAAATTCAGTACTGAAAATTTAATATAGTTGACTAAAAAGACCGGAAATCGCCGTTGCAAGGAACGTTGCTATAGAAGCTGAGAAGACTGTAACTTAAAAAAATGGATATTACTCATGATATTAAATTTGAACGTAAATAAAGATATATATTTTCTGAAACTAGATTAAATTTCAAATAAGAAATTTTTTCCTTTTTGATTTTTTAGTGTTTTTTAATTATAGAGCCACCCAGGCTTTCGAGAGGGGGGGGGGGGCAAAGGGGGCAAATTGACCCGGGCGCCAAGCTTGAAGGGGCGCCGGACAACTCATTGGTTTTTTTTTGTTTTTTTTTTTACAATAAATAGAAAACATTTTAATGATTGACAATTTAAAATCTGCTTAGATTTTGTATTTGAGGTTGAAACTTAAGTATTCGGAATAAAAATGCACAAAACTTTAATTTTAAATTCTGTTATTATAATTAATTATAAACTATTTTTTATGAAAAAAATAGGATTTAGTTGTAGTTGTACACGAAACTGGGCGTATTCCGTAAGCCTATGAACAGTTAGCTATGCAAGCTCGTGCTTGATTTTACGGAAGATGATGCGCTGTGGTAGTTATAATAGTAGGTAATCAAATATCGGTTTGAAGTAGTTAACACTGATAGCGCAGACACTTTGTTAGGTAGTACGCTTCACGGGTGAGCAACGGGGACGTTGAAGAAGTTGAAGTGAACAAGACATTTCACTATAAAAAGCGCTACTTTTTCCGGTCAGTTATCAAGTATTTGAGTTTTTGCATCAAGTTTAGAGTTGACGGAATGCCTACTTTAAGCCCAATAAGAAAAAAATAGTTTTTTCCTCAAATCGTTGGTGGAAATGGCGAAGTTTCAATTCGATGCGTTGGTGAAACTTGCTGAAAAGAGGCTTCTGGTTAACGGTTAGGATAAGTGTTTATGATGATTAAATAAGTATTTAGTTAAACAAGTTGATTGATAAATAATGAGTTTTATTTTGTTTTATAGTTGATAATTAAAAGTTAAATAAGTTGGTTAATAATTTAAAAAAGATTTTGAAAGTTTTATATATATTTTTTAGATATTGGTAGCGCGCTTGCCTCAGAAGCATGAGATTAGTGGTTCAAAGACATCTCTGAGCAAGTTTTGCGAGATTGGTTAGGAATGAGGTGTTCAGTAATAAGACCGTAAGGACTTTTTGAGACACTTTAAAAACATTTTAAAAAATTAGAATTTTTGTTTTCAATTGTTATTTTTGCGGTTGCTAAGTTAGGAAAAAAAACAAGCAAATATTTTGTTTACAACGGAGTGTCCCTTGAGACTTAATGTAACGGTCTATCGCTGACGTATTTTAACCCTTTGAGCACGGGGAGCCACGATCGTGGCTTTACCGTCAGAGCACGTAGAGCTACGATCGTGGCTTTATAAGTGTTCTTTAGAGTAAAGATTTTTTTTACAAAAATACCGCTGTTTATAAATTAAAAATAATACCATTAAATTGAGCACATTTTTTTCTGTATTTTGGTATATTGTTTGTCCATATTTTGCGTGATAGCGAAGAAAGTTTTATAGAAAAAGAAAGCTGTACAAGCGAATAAAATTTAAGTAGCAGCAATCATGAATGAAGGCAAAATTATTTTTATCAAATAATTGTATACAATATTATTTAATTCAAATATATCATCAAATATAAGCATTTGAAGTTTTTATTTTAATGTAGACTCCGGTTTTGATAATGATGCTGGTGCTGATTATGTTTTAGATTTGTCGCTCCCTGTTGTATGCTTTTCTAATTATCACATAGGTATGTTGGATGCTTTTCTAATTATTAAACAGCAGTTATGAATAAAATACATTAAATTCATTTAGAAACTACAAAAAATAAACTAAAATTCAAAATAGTTGTTCTTGATTTTTTTTTTTTAAGTTGAATTTCTCCGTACGACGTTTACATTTTATCTCGCGTTCAAAGAGTATTGTATTGAAAAGAAAAATTTGCTTGAAATAAAAATATTTTAAACTGTGTCTTCAACAATAAAAAATTAGTCAATAGTTTTTAAACGAAAGAAAACAAATACACAAAAAGCAGTGGCTGTTGCAAACACTCTAACACCAAAACCGTAAGTAAAATACAATTGTATTATGTTCTTTTATAACGATAGTTCTATAAAAAAAAACATATTTTTTTTAAAAATAAAATAAAAAAATAAAACATATTTTTTTTAAAAATAAAAATAAAAATAAACATATTTTTTTTATAGAACTAATGGTTCTATAAAAAAAATATGTTTTTTTCGAGTAAAATTTCCAATCTGTATAAATGCGGAAATATGATATTGAAACCTTTATTTAAAAACTAATGATAAATTACAAAACATTTTAGGTGTTTCCAAAAAATGGTTCGAAAGAAATCTTCCGGCGCTCAAAACCGTGCTAAAGCTACTATAAAAGTAGCAGAAGAAGCGAAAAATAGACAGACTTTAGAAGATATGGGATTTATAACAATAACGCAGACCAAAGAAAATGCCTCTTTTCCAGTAAGTAAACTATTTTTTGTATCATTTTTTTTCTTCTAACAACCTCTGGTATTGTAATCTTTGTTGTTATAACTAACTTTTTTCCTTAAGGTTCTCTCTTATAATGACCATGACTCCCAGTCAGTCTATGAGTGCAAAAGGAACCAATTAGCTCTCCTCCTCTTTTAAGATCACCTGCTGCACTTAAAATGTGTAGTTTGCAGGGCTGTGGATCAGTGGGGATCTCAAACAATTCACCTGAACTCATTAGAGTCAGAAGGAGGAACCTTATCCAACAGGGAAGAATGTAATGCTCAACCTGATTTGGTAACAATTAATGCTGACCCCTCTTTGTGGCCAGTGGTTTTATGTCAAAAAGATCGAGATGTAATCATTTTAAAGGGACCCCCTACACATTCTTTGAAGCAACGAGACTATCCCCGTGATTCTAAGAAAAGAATTTTTCCTTTGAATGTGTTTTATCAATCTTTGCCTAATAAGGAAAAAGTAGAAAGAGACTTTTTGGTTTGGAGCTCGATCTCGAAGGCTCTTTACTGTTTTCCTTGCTCACTCTTAGGCACGAAAGCAGCATTCAAATGCGGGGAATCGTCCCTTCTTCGTTGGAACGGAGGAGCTAGAAATCAATGGAGGAAACTCATAGATCGTGTAAAGAAGCATCAATTCAGCTCATTGCACCAAAAGTTCTACATGGATTGGAAAGACGCATACATTCGTCTTATCAGCTCCACTGGTATAGATTCAGAGCTCCAGAAGCGAATCAATTCTGAAACAGGTAAATGGAGGACAATTCTTCGTGGAATTTTGAATGTGACTCTTTTCTTAGTTTCTAGGAATTTAGCTTTTCTAGGTAACTTATTATAAGGTTCTTTCAATATCAATTTAATTATTTATATAATTATTTTAATAGTTATAACTATTATATACAATTATGAAAAGAAATGGAAACTTTCTTGCCGGTATGGAGCTTATCGGTCGCCACAACCCCGTCATTGCATCTCACTTGGAAGATGTAAGACGCCATCAACAAGAGGGCTCCAGAATGAGTGCTCATTACCTCTCTCCATCGTCTCAAAATGAGTTCATCAAAGAATGTGGTGGTGTTATCCGAAGTGCAGCTGTCAAAGAAATTCAGGACGGTATCTACTTCACTATTATAGTCGATGGTACCCCCGCTACATCTCACACTGAGCAGATAACCTCTATTATTCGTTTATTCCTTTATGAAAAAGAAACTAATTGCTGGCAAATCAAAGAACGATTTTTGTATGTTGAAGCTTTCGAAAAGAAGAAAGGACTCGATATAGCTAAGCTTATCACTGATGTGATTGCAAGGCTAGGTTTGGATATTTAAAACTGTCGCGGTCAGGGATACGATAATGGATCCAATATGTCAGGTGCTTACAAGGGAGCATAAGCCTTAATAAGACAAGATTATTCGGAAGCTCTGTATGTTCCATGTAGCGCTCACAATCTGAATTTGGCTGGTGTGCACGCAGTTGAATTAGCCATTGAGATCAAAGTATTCTTTGGAAACTTCAAATCTTTGTACGCATTTTTTAGTGCAAGTCCTGCCCGATGGAAGATCCTCACTGAAGGGACAGGAATTTCACTGCATAAACTTTTTATGAAAAGATGGAGTTCTCGTATCGACGCGATCAAATCACTTGCCAAAAGACCGAGAGAAATGTTGGCAGCTCTTAAAAATGCTACGGAAAACCTGGATCTGACGAGTGAGCAGCTAAGCCAAGCAAAAGCCTTAAAAAAATGGTTATCATCTTTTGAATTTGTATTGCTAATTACGATTTGGTACAAAACCCTTACTGCTGTTAACGACGTTAGTCGTCTTCTACAATCTGAAGCCATTACCATCGATGACGAGCTACGTTTGATTAGACAGCTGCTGGAAGATCTTAAACAGATTAGGGGCTCTTGGTTGCAAATTTTCCAAGAGGCTGTAGCTGTAGCTAGACCGCTAGGATTCGAAACTGAACTTGCTACTAAAAGAAAGCGCAAACTAAAGCGCTTTCATGATGAGGCATCAAACACAGCCTATTTCCACGAGAGCCAAACAAAAGAATTCGAAGTGAACGATTTTAATATTGGTTTAGATAGTCTGATCCAGCAGATTTATTCAAGATTTGAGACAAGCAGGATGGTTGCCAATTCATCTGATTTAACAATAATTTCATTCATCTGATTTAACAATGATGATCTTTCTGTTCAAAGTAGAGCTTGCGAGCTTGCACAATTTTATCCGAGAGATGTCAACAAAGAGGATCTCATTGAAGAAGTTTGCCGTTTTAAAAATGCCCATAAAACAATTTTCAAGCAAGGAAATCCACTGCAACTACTTAACCAAATTTTCGAGAAGAAGCTTGAACGTCTTTTTCCGTACATTTGCATCATGCTCCGGATTTTCAGCACTATTCCTGTGTCAGTTGCTGAGGGTGAACGATCATTTAGTCAACTTATGATTGTAAAAAACTCTCTCCGTTCAACCATGGGCCAGGATCGCGTAACTGATCTTTTGATTATTTCAATTGAAGAAGATTTGGCTAAGAAGGTGAGCTACGGCGATGTCATCGATATTTGGGCGGCCAGAAAAGCTCAAAAAATTCATTTTTAGCGCTTTATTTACCTTTCTCGAAGATTTTATTGATTGACTTTTCGTTTATTGATTTTAAAACTAATATTTTGGTTAATGTCAGTTTTGAATAATGAACCGTTTCTCAATCTAGAGAATTAATAGTAACACAGAAATACAATATGCTATATTAAAAATAGGTTTTGCTGTGTTCACAAAACATTAAACTTTTAATTTCTGAGTTTGAAATAGGAGCGCCGTTCTCCATTTTTGACCCGGGCGTCTTTGCCGCTCTCGAAGGCCCTGGAGCCACCTTTACTTTATTAAAAAAAAAAAAGTTCATTAAATTTTATTTATAGTCACTTATATTCACGCAGTAGAACATTTGTTATTGAAAACATGTACTTTGTGGTTTTATAAACTACAAAACTATGTGATCGAATAAATATTATTTACAAAAAGTTATTTATCATTACAATCTATGGTCTGGGAGATCAACAGATTTCAGGTATACGGAGCAACAAACTTTATCAGACTAAACACTGAGGAAACAGAGTTTCTGATTCTGGAAAAAGCAATATTTTCAACAAAGTTATTCAAATTAACGAAGCTTATATATACCTTCAAAATAGATTAAAACATCTGGGTTTCCAATGGGATAACGATGCTAGCAAAAGCGACATTGTAACACTCCAAAAAACAAATTTAAATGAGCGTATATCTCAGTTTCAATCAGTTGCAATAGCTCTAATCGACAGTGGGATTCAGTACTGCCAGCCATCAACAATAGTCCATTTGTACAATACCTTAACTGTCCCGAAGCTTATATATGATCTTGAACTATGCAAATATGATATTAGTTTTCTTCGCAAAATAGACGCTGTTGTAAGAGCAGTCTTATAATCATTTTTCTGTATCTCGAAGCACAGTAAAAATTACTTACACTCGTTTTTTAAAATAGAGGAAATTTCAACTATTCTGCTTAGGAACAAAGTAAATCTGTTTATCTAGCTATTAAAAAGTCAAACTTTTTTTTTTGCTATTAACTGATAATAAATCAATTACAGGCAATACAGAATAAAAAATTCTTTACAAATGAAGTGTTTGAAGCCTGCAACACACTTGGTTTAGACTTCGTCTAGTACATGATAAATGGCAACAAAAAAAAAAAAAGTCACGCAACTTATCGAAGACCTGCAAGCTGATGTTGTGTCGATATTAAAAAAAACGTTCCAGTTTTGGAATTTGAAAAAAAAGAGAGAGTCCTTTAAAATTTTGATGGAGGAGAATGTTCCGAGAAGTCTGATCCAATAATTTGTGGAAAACACACCGGCTGGTTATTAGCATTTAATGCGAGAGCCGTGTCGTTTTAGCTAATTTTAATTTAATAGACATTTCTCTAATATGATTGCGCAATTGATTTCTCAGCTTCAAAAAGAGGCCAATAAGGACAAAAATGTAAACAAACTAAATTCGTACTAAATAAAAATTTCTTATTTTAACTATAGCGTTATCAGACCAATATTGAAAAAAGGTGGAAGAGAGAAGTATTACTGTATATCATTGTGTAAAAATTCATTTTATAATAACAATATGGAAAAGGCTAATATTGGTCTAATTTTTTTCCCAAACCAAGAGAAAAAATATGATGTTTGTAAAGGCTTTGTGATTGTCGTCTCTTTTCCATATTGTAGCTATAAAATGAATTTCCACACAATGATATACAGTAATACTTTCCTCTTCCGTCTTTTTTCAATATTGGTCTTATTCCATATTACACCAAGCTTTGACAAAGCTTGGTGTAACAAAATCTTTTGACATAGACGTAAAGGAGGTGCTGATAGTTTTGAAATAATGAAACACACTAAAGTGTGTGAGTTTTACCTTGGGCCTTGAAAAATAAAAATTAGTTCAGGCTTCAAAATAAAACCTTTAAAAAAGGAAATAAACTTCAAAGCTTGTATTCATTTAAGATAACACAAGAAAAATTACCTTGAAAATCTTCATGTAAAATGTCAAAGTATCCAGAGTTTATACTTAAGCCTATAATAACATAGTGTAGACCATAGAGTTTATGAAGTTAAGAGATAAAAATCTTAATAATTACTGGATTTCACAAATAGTTAAAATGGTGAAAAAGTTGTTTTCATCCAAAAAAAAGTTGTTTTCATCCAAAAAAAGTTGTTTTTATCCGAAAAAAGTTTTTTTTCAAAAAAAAAAAATTTAAAAAAGATTAGTAGTTAATAAAAACTAATGTCGTTTGAAGAATATAAAAGTTAAAATAATCAACAACCTTTTGAAAAATAATATTTTTAGCTACAAAAAGGTGATATATGTTATAAC